TTATCCTTCATATATATAGATAGGTCTCATGATTGATAAACATATATTTAGGTTACAATGATTACTTTAAAACATTTTTAATTTTTGATTTTATTATAAATTTGTAATGACTGATAATTTTTTGATATAATTTTATTTGTTAATAAATTTATTTTTTTAATATATGAATTTTGGAATAAAATTTTAGATCGTCAATGTTTTATTTTTCAAAAATATATTATTATAATTTATACAATAATTTATTTTTATATTTTTATATGAGTGTCTTATTTTTTAATATATATATATATATATATATATATATATATATATATATATATAGAGAGAGAGAGAGAGAGAGAGAGAGAGAGAGAGAGAGAGAGAAGTATGTTTTAGATAGTTTGATCCAATTTTTTTTAAATAATAATGAGTTAAAAATTCATAAGTTTTATTTGCTTTCTTATATATATTTATTCATAATTTATCGGAACCAAATTTGTTATAGTTTTTATTTTGATATATTGACTTCAATATATTTCTATAATTTAGGTGGGTTTTTTTATATATATATTTTTTATTTGTTCTATATACTCTCAATCGTATGTATGTGTGTGCGTGTGCGTGCGCGTGCGTGCATTTTATTAAAAATTAACTATATATAGATTCGATTTATATTAATCACAAAAAATAAAACTTTTTATTGGCATTACATCATAGGAATCGTTAACCCTACGTATGTAACGGTTGTCTGTCCATAACGTAGTGCGGGATATCTAACTAGTAAATTATATTTTATGAATGATGCTAAATTTGTTAAAAGTTTCGATTCTGAAAAAAATAAATAAATAAATAAAAGAAGCGAAAAAGAAGTAAAAAAAGAAGAAGCAGAATTGGACCGACTCGAACTCAGCTGAATTATAGTTTGGGGAAATTTATATGGCCGAAAGTCATGAAAGCGAAATTTAAATAATAATAAATAAATAAATTTGGGAATTTAGAGATGCAATGATCTGATTATAATATGTAACAGACGCCTTTTTAAGTTTTTAAGATATTGTGTTCACTCTTGGTTTCGGAGAAATGATATTGGCGCTCCTTTTAGTCAGTATAATCACCAATTCTGAATTACCGTCAAAATAATTTTGAATCATGGTGAATAAATAAATATAAAAGTAATAATTAATTTTTATTACTCACATTTACCGAATAGATATCGAAATAAAAAATTAAAAAGAAATTAAAAGGATAAATCGAAATCCGCCTCGAAGACAATGATGTGATCATAATATGCATGATGATACTTTTTGGTTACTGGGAATTTCGAGATGCATCGTTACAGATGTAAACTGGAAAAGAAAAGGATAGGGAAATGCGCCTTCCATTGGCTATTTAATGGTTACAACGAAACTTTTAAAATTACACACACATCATATATATATATATAAAAGGAATAAAAATGTATTTTATCCTGTAATTATAGAACCTTTAGACATCTATGACTGAAAATAAATTATATTTTATGAATGATGCTCAATGAATTTGTTAAAAGTTTCGATTGTGGAAAAAAAATGCAGACTTGGACCAAATGAACTCAGCTAAATTATAGTTTGGGAAAATTGATGTGGCCGAACGCAATGAAAGCGAAATTTAAATAATAATAATAAATAAAAAAGCCTCCAAAACCCAATTGACTGAGAGACAGAAATTAAGACTTGAACTCCTAAAAGTTTTGATAATGCAGTTAAACAGAAATTCTAACCATTCGTAAAATTATTTTATTTTTTTCATATTCGATTAATTATTTAACTAATGTTTTTGAAAGATTACCATTTACCTTACGAAACTAACATATGAAAATTTTTGTATAATTAATCTTTGGCTTAAAGAAAAAAGACTCCTTAGAAAACTAATTAGCAAGTTTTGGTATGATTCCTTTATTCGTAGATTATTTCTTGTCATATCATGTTATAGAAACTAACTAGTTAGAAACATGTGCTACGTTATGATCAAACAATAGTTATATATATAATGTTAACAATTTGTATGGTAAAGTACAAATAGAAGTTTTATTTCCGATGATTAATGTAAATCGAATTTATATATTGAGAATTGTTTGATTTATATATATTTATTAAAAAAATATTTAATAATATTAGCATAAATATTTGTATTTGAATAATTGGAAGGTTCTTTCAAAACATTATCTAACTTATTTTATTTTTTAAAAAAAATTAGAATATGAAAAAATAAATAACAAATAATCGGTATTATGTGTGTAGATATATAGTTAATTTCTAACAAAATTAATTAATTAATTATATACACATACACACACACTTAACGATTTAGAATATATAGAATAAATAGAACAATATACAAAAAAAAACCCACCTTAATTATATGAAATATATTGAAATCAATTGATTAAAATAAAAACTATAACAAAATTGTTTCAAATAAATTATGAATATATATATATATATATATATCATACTTAACGATTCGAGTATATAGAATAAATAGAAAAATATACAAAAAAAAAAATCCACCTAAATTGCATGACACATATTGAAGTCAATAGATTAAAATAAAAACTACAACAAATTAGTTCTGATAAATTCTGAATAAATATATATATATATAAAAGCAAATAAAACTTGTGAATTTTATTAAGCGATTATTAATTTTTTTAAAAAAAATTAAGTCAAACTATCTAAAACATACTTTTAGTTCTCTCTCTCTCTCATATGTGTGTGTGTGTGTGTGTGTATATATATATATATATATAATCAGAATTTAAAAAATAAAACACTCATTTAAAAAACATAAAAATAATTTATTGTATAAATTATAATAATATATTTAAAAAATAAAACACCGACGTTCTAAAATTTTATTCCAAAATTCATATGTTAAAAAAACCAAATTTATTAACAAATAAAATTATATCAAAAAATTAATTTGATGAGAATTTCAATAAGAAACAAATAATTGAAGAAATAAATTTTAAACAATAAGAGCAATATAATCAGATATATATATGTTCAAATTAAAATTTTAAAAAATATTATATATATTCGATCATTTTTAAACTATACGTAAAATTAAAAAATAAAAATTTATTTTTTTATATTTTTTACAGTTAATTTCATGATATATATATATATATATATATATGAAGAAAAAAAAAAGAAGGCACAAGAAAAAGAAAAAGAAAGAAGGCCAGCGCCTGACTGGGTTGAACTGCAGCCAAGGCATAATATATATATATATATATATATATATATATATATATATATATATATATATATATATAAGGGGGGGGGGGGGGAAGAAGAAGAAGAAAGGATTAAGGCCAGGCTGGTGCTGGTTGGGTTGAACAGCAGCCGGGCCTTGGCTGCTGTTCAAAAAAAAAAAAAAAAAAATCAAACCAAAGAACTGAGATACAGTAAATAAACAGTGGTTACTGTTTATGTATCCCAATTGTTTTAGTTTTTTAGGTAATAGTAATAATAAATGAAATTATCTTCTTCTTTTTTCTAACGACAAACTGGAAACCTCTCAAAGGAGGGGAGACACGGTACGGGTTGAGCTACAAGCTTATTAGCAATTTGTTATATCAATTCAAATTAAAAGATCCATGGCATTATATTATTATTGCTAAGGGGTGGGGGGTGGAGGGATTTACGAACCCATAAGTATTTGATTAACGTACGTACTATTATTCCAGCCATTGGATTTTTTTTTGACATGATCAAGTGATTTATGTTTATCAATTCTTTTTTCTTTTTTTCCAGTTTATAAGAAACCTTATTTTATTATTATTATTATTATTATTTATTTTGCACTTCTCTCTTTGTTTTTTTTTTCCGGGTTCTTCTACCTAGGAAATATTTTAACTCAAATAATGTTTTTAATGAAAATCTAACAAAAATTTATCTTTAAACAACAAAAACTTTAAGCATTCAATTATAATTGAGTCAGTTAACAATATTAATCCATTAGATAAAATCATAAACCATCAATTTAGATTTGACATAATTGATGTGAAAAAAAATAGTTTTCATTTTTTAAAATTGAATTTGATAGTGATTTTAGATGATTTAGATTGTGATACAGGTACTCTTTACTTTTTTTTTTTATGTTTATTAATTTATATATTAAAAAATAAACTCTTAATGCAATGATGAATTTTGATTTGAAAATTTATAGACAGTGATAAAATTAAATTTCTAAATAATAGAAGAAAGAAAAGAAAAGTTTTTTTTAAAAAAGTAAATAATCGAAAAATTAAAAATGAGTTATTTTGATTTTTGATTTTTGATTTTTGATTTTTGATTTTTTGTTTCAGCAGTAAGAATACTTTCGGATTAGCTTTCACGCATCTCAAAATTAATCTTTCCGAACGTGATTAAGAGACACTTTCCAATACATGATCTTAAGTATTTTGAAAATAAAATTTCATGAGTTCTGGTCACAAGAATCCAATTCTAAACCTAACTTATAAATTAATACTTTCTAACTACAAGGCAAACTCTCATAGTTATTTTGAATTTTTTTTAAAGAGTGAATAAACATCCGCCATTGGTTGAACATAAAAAGAGTCCATTGCACTTTTCTCGCATTCCCTTCTCATTTTTCAAACCGGGAAACTAGCCGTTGGAGATCGAGGAGAAAACGGACAATTCAAATCTCTAGCACCGTCATTCTAACGTTCGAAAATATACCAAACCCTAACCGAAACTCTCCTAAACGACTTCGTAATTGGCAATCTCAACTTCTTATAAACCCCAAAGGCATTGCCTATATCATCTCTCTCTGGAAGCTCTCTCTCCATCTCTCTCTTTAAAAAATAAAAATAAAAAATCACACACAAAAAGAAGAGACAAAGGAAGAAAACGCTCTCTTGAGTCTCTTCTTCTCGTTTTCACAACAAACAAGTCAGTTTCTTGATTTGGGTTTTCTTTCTTTTTTCGTTCTTTTGAATTCTAAATAAAAAGAAAGAAAGAAGAAGAGAAACTATGGCAACAGTTAATGGGTATCAAGGGAATACTCCGGTGGCTGCTCCAGCAGGGACTACTCCGTCTAAGCAGACTGTCCCAGCGGCAAGGACTGTTGATACACAATCCGTGCTTAAACGGTATTTTTTTCCTTCTTCTTTTCTTTTCTTGTTTTTCGCTTGATCTGCTCTTTTTATTTCTCAATTTATGTAGTATATCACGAATTGTAACTGGATTTATTTTTTCGGTTTACTTTTCTTGTTTGTAAATGTGACTTTTATTTGGTGTTTTTTCCTCTTTGATTTTAGATCAGATAATGTTTGTGTTTATAATGAATTTGGATGGTCTCAATTAAGCTATTGGTTTTATGTAATCGGTTCTTTGTCTTTGCGTAATTTTGAATGAATCAGTTCGGTTTTTTTAAGTCTGATTATGTGTCTTAAAAAACAATACTTGTCTCTTTTTTTCTCTTTGATTTGCTTGAGGTATTTCATGGTTTAATTTGACCAAATTTCTTCAGAGCTGGTTGCTTTTAACCTGATCTGGTTACATATAGTCTTTTAATTTGCTTGAGAATTTTTAGGGTTTTTTTATTTTTAACTAATTGTCACCTTTTTTTCGTTTTGGAATCAGGTTGCAATCTGAACTGATGGCATTGATGGTGAGAATATTGAAAACTGTCTTGTTGTTGTATCTCTAATTTTCGCAGTAACAAATCAATGATTAATTTTGTTTTGTAGATGAGTGGAGAATCTGGGATATCTGCCTTCCCTGAAGGGGACAACATATTTTGCTGGAAAGGAACAATCGCAGGCAGCAAAGACACAGTGTTTGAAGGAACAGAATACAAGCTATCCCTTTCTTTCCCAAATGACTATCCTTTCAAGCCTCCAAAAGTAAAGTTTGAAACCAGCTGCTTCCATCCCAATGTGGATGTCTATGGCAACATTTGCTTGGACATTCTTCAGGTAAAATTAACTCATCTAGTGATCCCAACGTTGTTGTCTAATTGAACTAATTAAGAGTGTTTCTTAAGATGCAAATTGACTGATCTAACTTTGACGCTTTTATTGTTCCTAGGATAAATGGTCATCTGCCTATGATGTGAGGACAATATTGATATCCATCCAAAGTCTGCTTGGAGGTGAATTTTGTTTTTTCATTTTTCCCTTTTCTGCTTATGGAAAGTGATGATTTAATTGACTGTTGATGTTGTTTCTTTTGTGTTGTATTCAGAGCCAAACATAAGCTCACCTCTAAACACTCAAGCAGCACAACTTTGGAGCAACCAAGAAGGTTTGTTTGTTGTTTCTACAATACATGGTATGCAATGTATTGCGTGGAGTCTGAATAATTAATACCTTGTGTCGGTTGCAGAATATAGGAAAATGGTGGAGAAGTTGTACAAGCCTCCAAGCGCTGCTTAGAAGGAAGAGGAGGGGGGTCCAAAGGGAGTTTTTACTTTACTATTTGTTGGGTGTGTGGTGTGGTGTGACTTCCATTTTTCTTTTTCAACTATAGGCGTTGCTGTACTGACTCAATAGATGACGAATGAATGAATCTCATTTTTTTTCCTTCCCTCTTTGCAAAGTGTGTAATCCTATTTAATAACTTGCTCCTTCAAATCAATGATGATTTTAGTAAAGATTTGTCCAAAATGTATGTAATCTTTTGCCGGGTGTGGTGGTCCTTCCTTGGTTGATGCCAAAACAGAAAAGAATTGAATTAAACAAAAATATACTCCTTGTGCTTGTGCATTTTGAGAACTAAGAACAGGGGAGATTTCGCTCTACAAAAGTTGTGGGAATGTTTTCCCTTTTACCCAACAATCAAACTGAATAGTTGATTTATTTATTTATTTTATAAGCAAACTATAAAGAAGAAAAACAAGAATCGCATCGTTCTTTTATTTTTCCTCCCGGGCTAACCATTTTTAAGATTTCAGAGAGAGAGCAGAAATATTTTTAACAGTAGTTAATTGCAAGAGGCCCTTTTCTTTTAGGAGTTTCTCTCGACATTTAGAATTTGCTTCCTCACATATACGTGTGATAAAAAGATTCCGCTGATTCCCTTCATATATACGTGTGATAAAAAGATTCCGCTGATTCCCTTCATATATACGGGTGATATATATATATATATATATATATATATATATACACACACACACATATATCAGCTTCTTTTTCCTTCTTATTGTTTAATAAAAATTAAGGAAACTACCAGTAAGTCACGTCCATTGACTGTTATTATCCTCTTTTCTTCTCTTTTTTTCCCCATTTGTGTAGAACTCACTGAAGCGATATGAAATTGAAATCTCCATCTATTTTGCTATGATAGTTGAAAAAAAATGAGGGTGAAAGAACAGAAACAAAAGGAAGAATGGTTTTTAGATTTTTTTCGTCTTTTGTAATATTATGCTCTCACAACAATGTCGGGACAAAACGATGAACATTCCTAGGCCAAGGAAGCTCAAGAACGGAAAGAAGTTCAATGGAACCAAAATTTTGGTTCGCCTAGCACTGTTAAAATACAAAATATGAAACGGACAATAAATAACAGATCCAAAGTTGCTTTGCGCTTCGTTTGAGACAAGACGAGCTACTACTGTGTCGATGATGTGAGCTGCCTCAAGTTGTACTTGGACAACTCCTTGTACTTTTCAACAACCCCGATCAAGCACACAGTCTGAAAAAATTACAAACCAAAGTAATTAAGTTAAACGCGCAAAAAGTAATCTAGCGGACATAAATCAAACGTCTCATTAAGGCAGTAAAACACTGACTGTTTCTTTTCAGTTATCGATAAATTAGGACTCCACCAATAATAGACACAAAACAAGTAATTCTTGTGCTTTGTAGTAAAGAATACATCACAAGTGTAAAAGGCTTAACAAGCTCGAACATGTAGTGTGTTAAAAAGACAAACAAGACTAGCCAATTAATTTGACCAAACGCAGGATCACTCATAGGCATTAGGAAATGATTAATTTGACCAAACGCATGATCACTCTAGGGATTAGGAAATGACAACGGTCAAAAGAGTTCTTTCATATGCTTCCTAATATAGAGAGCCTAATAGCATCTTCTAAAAGATATTATATCAATTAGTGCGATTCTAAATTGCACATAATGCAAAACTTGGTTTTGTAACAAATGAGTAGTCTCTGCAGAAGACAAGTCGCAGCAGGCAAGAGAACAGATTCTTACCTTGACAATTTCAACTACAATTGTCTTGTCGGGATTGCCAAGATCAACTTTATGAGGTCCAGGAACAGCTTTTGCCACTGAATTTATAATTTTCATCCTGTCAATGCCAGAATTTGCACGGGCTTCATACATTACTGCAAACTGCACAGAAGGAATGAGTGGTCAAATAGTAGCTTGTCTTGCAAGTATGAGATGCAACTCAGTTGGTCCCTATTGACTCAGTTGAATTCAGAAAAATTCGGATTTCTCATCTCCAAAGGTTTCCTATATTCCATCACAATTAGGATGTGCCAGACTACTGGATAATTTTAGCAGTGTAGAGGTTGCTCAGCTGCCATAAGCTACGTGAGAATGGTACGCTCTTTAAAGTATTATTCATGTCAGATTAATTGCAGAAACAAAACTTCATTTTGGATCATCATTTGATTAAATTTAATGGTATCGGATCCCGTCTATTGTTCCATTGCCAGTTGCCTTTGGATCCCAACTTATGTAATGTGAGCTTGGTCCTTGTCAAGGGAGCTACCTCAACAGCAACTTCAGAACTAAATGTGACGACCTGCAGGTCCTTTGAGCTGAGAATTCTACAGAATCCTTGGAATTTTATTTCGGGTTCAATGCCCACACTTCAAAAGCATTGCTAGAGCTAGATTGTTAACACAATAAGTGATGCATGAAACCAATGCATTCAATATCGAAATCTAAGGATAATGATAAAGTAGGGAACTAATCCGCAAATATAGATTTAATTTTACCTCTTAATCCAAATGAGCATTGTTTTCTCTCCCCTTTGCACAGTACATCTAACAAATTTTTATTCTTTCTTACTCGTTGGATTTCAGTGCAGAAAGCAGCTCTTACTATTGACAAATTTGCAGGATTACCAATGGCAAGTCCTATTCAAAGGTTATAAAGGTCAAACAGTGAATTTTGTAGGGGCTTGTTTTATATTTTATGTTTTAGCACTATCACTTTAGGAAAGCAAAAAACAATGAATCACAAAATACTATATCTGAGGTAATCTTAGTTTTTTCAATTGCTCGGCCTTGGTTTTATAGCAATAAATGCTTGGTTACCACCCCAGTCTTTCCTATTGTTATTTTGTTTTGTTTAGTTTTTCTTTAGAGATCTTTTCTTGTTTAATCAACAAATTGATTTTCTTTTCCTCATTTGATAAGCATTTCGTGTACCTCCTTATAAGCAAGTCTCAAGCCATTGAAATTTCTTTACATGCATGCAATCTTCTAATTAAAACTCCATTGAATTTATTCTTTTAAAGTTGAAACTCCTAGGAAGCCTCAATGACTTATTCCCCCAGATACTATGACATCGTACTTTTGGTGGATAATGTCATACTGAGCAAATATAAACACCTGAACCTCCTTTACACCGTAACCAATACACATTCTCAATTACTGCTAGGATCATGGGCGGAGAAACAGACTGGCATCCACTTTCTAATATCAGTTTCAGGTTCACATGATGCTACCTCTTGGCTTGATTTAGATTCTGAATCAAGTCTCCACTAAAAACCAAACCATACCATAAAGTTGGACCAAGAATAATGCTACATTGGTAGAATTTTTGAAAGATCAACTCTTCCCAGTAGCGTTTCCTATGTATTCCAAGTTGTCAAGCATTGTGAATTAGATGGTGCAGTTAATTCATTACAAAGCAATTAGTTGAATTGTGAATATGCTTCTCAAACACTTCTCCTACTATATGTTTTATGATTCTCGCTTATGGAACACTAGAGAAGTTGTGCCAGTTCTCCTACTATACAATAAAGTTGGACCAAGAATGATGCTACATTGGTAGAATTTTTGAAAGATCAACTCTTCCCAGTAGTGTGTCCTATGTATTCCAAGTTGTCAAGCATTGTGAATTAGATGGTGCAGTTTATTCATTACAAAGCAATTAGTTGAACTGTGAATATGCTACTTAAACACTTCTCCTACTATATGTTTTATGATTCTCACTTATGGAACACTAGAGAAATAGTGCCAGTTCACTTTGAGCTAAGAATTAAAGAATTAATGAAATAGGTAAATCTAGGTACCTTCTGTGGGTCCTGAGTATCCACGGGAAAATATTTTTCAACAACTGGTGCAATCGCTCTTGAAATTTCCTCTTCTGAAGGATAGCATGCAACTTCAATTGGTAACACTCTTAAGATGAACCTATATATGAACAGACAATATAACTTCAGCATGATAAAGTGATATGGCAGTCTTTTAAGGGGTTGCATAAGTTCCTGGCTTCATGCAGTATAGAAAGCCAATTTGGTACATACGCACTAAATGTCACATACAGTTTGATCCCATGCATTTTGGATGTAAAAATCCATAAGCAGTGGCCTGAGCCTGAAGAACGACACACAGAGGGAGAACATAGAGCACTGGTTGGAAGCTATGCCCTTATAAAAATTAACCGAAGAAGTCAGCAATTCATGAACCTGGACATGTGTTTCCTTGTTGCTGCAGTAGATGTCATGATATGTTGGACAATATCTTTGGGACAAGGGTCTCCATCTATCTTGCGCATTTGAACAAAGGCAACACCATTACAGCCAGAATCGAGGCTGAGAAAGCGCCTCTGTTCAAGCAGGAGAAAAATTCATAGTCAGCACAAGAATATGATGGTATGGACAAAAATAGTAGCAATACAGAGGACAGAGACCACCATTTTAAGCATGCCACCATAACAACAGGAAATTAGTGAATTCAACATATAGCGAACTCAAGAAGGTAGGAGATCATTTATCAAAAAGGAAAACATAGCATATCAGAATAAAACTACATTATCTGCTACCAACTTAAGAGCACCCAAGCGCAGCATGCTCTGATGCAAGCAAAACAGCAATTCATACTGCTGTGAAGTTTGTTCATGGAGTTGCATTTCATTCTAGGATAGGCTAAGAGGAAGCAAGATGTGTTTCTTCCTATTTCCCTTTTCCTCATCCGAGCCTTTAAGTAGCAAAAAATATAGGTTAGGAGGAAAAATAAGACAAACAAGAGAAAACAAAAGGAATAAAATCATACAAATGTGTCACCAAGTACGTTTTCTGAAAGTGAAATCAGGATACAGATTTTGTGTTTCCAGTCTAGGGAGGAGGGGAGGGAACTAATTTCGTTAGATGGTACAGTGCACTGCTTGTATGTCTTTTATCTTCATTTCAAGCCAAATCATTGTACTTTCAGTACAAGCAAAACATTCTTATTGAGGACCTACCTGCACATCTAAACTGCATAGAATTGTGGTGGGTATGCGGTCAGTGAGCAAAAAGAGAATATAATAATCTATGACTACATCAAATAGGGGAGAAAGGGAAAAAGAGCTAAGTACAAATACAGGGAAGAAAAGGAAAAATGAGTTCAACAAAAGAACACATGCAAAAGCTAGAGAAATTTGGCCACAGGCAGAATACGTTCCTCACCTTGTTCTTATCTCCAAGTTCTTTGAGTTCATCCTCAATAAGCTTATCAATGGATTTCTCCTCCACTTTTTCTTGGACAACAGACTTGGGGGAACATGTTTCTGTGCATTTCTTCTTTGGTGGTGGTTCCTCTGCTTCATTTGCTTGTTTTTCATCATTTTTACAACCCTCTTCTCGACTAGTATTTTCTTCTGCTTGATTTTCACTGTTTTCATTCACCACACTAGGAGATCCTAACTTTTCATTTGTTGGATTTTCATTCTTGGAATCATTGCCTTCAGGGGAATCTGATTTGTTCTCATCTTCCCCATCCTCTTCGCCATCTTCATCATCCTCATCCTCATCGTCTCCTTCATCATCAGAATATGAGAACTTGATCTTTTTATTTGTAGGTTTATTAGGCAACTCTGCAAGCTTCACACTAGTATCCTTCCCAAAAACTAGCTCTTCATAAAACTGCAAGAAAAAAGTGCAAATACCAGCAGCTCAATGAAGAATGCATAACTTGATCTCGTAAATCAAGGGAAAAGTGCATTCCTTGCTTCTACAAACACTCTAAATTATCAAATCTAGTAAATGCATTTCTCAAACATTATGATAACAGAAAGACCAAAACAAAAAACAAAAATTGCACCCACGACTAGCAGAATTCTTGTTTGAGGAATTAAGCAACTATAAAATTTTATTCAGTCCAAAGTTGGTAGATTATCCCTCCCCGTCCTTAAAAAGTAGCAATAAATGAATTTTACTTAGCATAAAAACTCAAAGCCATGATTTAAAGGGGCAGCTATAAATGAATTCTAGAGCATAAAAACAAATCTTTCTCCCATAGCCGCCCATTTCATCTCAACAATATTTTCACAACTATATGAGTCGATTTGCGATACCTCCTGGTTGAATTTCGCAATAAAAATGAAAAGAGGAAAGAAGAAAAAGAAAAGGAAACATACAGAATCAATAACGTTAATAGCCTCCCTCGAGGCTTGGCGCTCCCTACCCCCATCACAAGTGATAAAGAAGCCTTGAACTCCTGGGTGCAATGGATAGGAACCCTTCTTCTTCACTGGTTTCTGCAGAACAGAAACACATGCAAAATACAATCAAAAGAAGGAAACACAAATTAAATATATATGAACAAGAACAGAGAGAGGAAGTAAAAGAAGGATACGTTGTGAGGGAGGTAGCGTTGCTTTCTCTTCTTGTTGTTGTTAGGGGCACTGGCTCTAGTCTTAGGCTTGTTTTCAGTTGCCATTGTTTGTTTATTCTAGTGTAGGAGTTTAAGCTGTGCTTGTCGAGGGTTTCTACTTTCTAGTTCTATTTCCTCGGACAACAAGAAGACGTAAAACACTTGGACTTGGACTATGAATATGGTTACCTTAACTTTGGATTTAGGCCAGGTCTCTCATTGCCAAGTAGGCCCAATCCACCTTCCAGCTTTGTGGCCCAAAATTGGATCAGAATTTAAATTTATGCTCTGCTTTGGTGCACAAGGTTATTATCGTTTCCACTCTTTTCTTCGTAGCTTTACGAAATCAATTAATTTACCGCTTTACGTTGCATCTATACATATTTGTGGAGTATGTTGCATCTATTAATTTATACTACTTACTCCTTTGAGCATTATAAAATTTCTCCATATTTGTGTTCTTTATTACGTTCCAAGTTTGGTTAAATGTACCACAGCCCTTTATTTTTCACTTGAAAAATGAAATAAATCAACGACTCCTCGCTCTTCTTCTTCCTTGTGTTTTTGTTTGTACCGTGCGCCATCTGGTATCCATCTCACAATGCAGTCTCTACCTTCAGCATCTTCTATCTTCTATGAGACCATCCATCTGTTATAACTGAATCCACTTTGGACCGTGAATGGAACCAAGTCGAAGAAAGACTTCTTGCTGCTACCTATGTCTCTAAGTCATTTCTATTTATGAGTTTTCTCATTTTATTTTACGAAATGATTTACTTCCCATCTCAAGTAGATAACTGAGTTATGAATATGCTTGGTAACAACTTTGTTATGCAACAAATTTGTGCATCATGCCAGTGCTATGCCAATGATTATCGGCCATTCCAGGGACCAGGCAATCCATAGCATTACATATCCTGATGATGTAGTTCGTAAATGTTGGCATGGACATCAGGGATCAAAAACTGGTTAATGAACTGTATAGACGTACATAAAAGAGACGAGAGTTTTCCGAGTTCTATGTAAAAAATTTCTCACTACATTTAGCTCTCTGTATACCATCAGCAACTGTATATGATGGTAAAATCGTACGGGTGTCAAGTAGCATACTGACAATATTTTATAACCATACCTTTCAAAGGAAGTATGCCTTTCTTTTTGGAGACTACGAAATACAAAACATACATGTAGGAGTAATTGAATAAGCTACACCCACTAGATGTTGCTTGGAAGCTTCAATTGATGCTACTGCTTCCATAAAATTATAGCGTAGTCCACCATAGATAATACAAGAGAGCTATCATCTAATCAATTGATTCAAGGAGTGGAGCTTTGCAGTTGAGATTATGAATTGACGTTAAGGTTATCAAGCTGCCAGGGAAGGGACTGCAACTGGACCTGCCCTCTGATAGGGGTAGGAATAAAAAATCAGAACGATTGAACGACTTGGGAAGACTGCTATGTGTACGAGTAGCTGTGATGATGAAGCCCTTTGACTGAATGACGCTTCCTACGAGAAAGTTGGATGTATGTGCCCCCGGAGAGGAAAACAGAACCAGTGCTATATATTTCCACTCCAAAGCAAATCAACAAAAGCCGGAAACTTTTGAGTAATATGCATTATGCCAGTAAAAGTTTCTAGTTATGTACAAGCATAGAGTAAAGTTACTTGATATAAACTTACATCCACGGAATCAAATCGCTCAATGCCAGCTAGTTGTGTTCAAAATACATAAATTGGTAATCTATTCTCCACATAAGCCATCACCCCTTCTTTTGCTTGTAATAATAGTAACCCCAACCCAAGACATATATAACTGAAATCAACAAACAATTCATGTGGCAATTGGTGTGTTAACCTGCTACATTTGTCAAAAGATAAAAAAGGAGAAAAAAAAAAACAGAGAAGAAAGATGAGCATCTAAAGTATCAAGTGTACGAACTCATTGTGAATGATGCGGAGAGCATAGAGACTTAGAAGATATGTTGCCAGACATTAGAAGCAAGATATATAATGTCCAAATGGGATGGAAAAGCACTTGGAAAAAGGGATGGTTCCTAATGGAGGCATAGGATTTATCTTACCTTGGAATGGAATGGATACAGCAGCAAATGATATCATCACTGCCAACTGCTTTTTCATCTTCCGAGACTTCCACGAGAAGGTATGTGTCGTAGTAGCGAATGCAAAAGTGAACACTGTCAACCTGAAGTAAGTAGTCATCCCTCTAAATTTGTACCCGACCAAATGCAGTCACTGTATGGAACTCGAAGTTACATCAAGAAATCAATGAGCACGTTTGAATTTTTTATTTCAAAGATCATGAAACTGCATGTGTCAGTTTATTTAATTCCTCACGTGCAAGTTTCTGGGTTGTCTTCATCCACATATACCTTGCTCTGCCATTCTTGCAGATTGGATAACTACATGATAATTAGAAACGATTTTCTTATGAAAACAAAGAGGTCATTTACATGTCATGCCAAACTGTAAGTTTTGCTGAGTAAATGTAGAATTTGCAGGGCTTAGTCTCAATTCATAAATCAGACATCAACAAAAGATTTTTATCCTTTTCTGTTAATAACGTTGTCTTATTCTGCGCCCAGAAAAATCAATTAAGAAATTTCCACAACAGAGACGGATATTTGCTTCTTTAGCATTATTTTGCCAGCAAGTTTATGATGTCCGTTCCATATGCAACGAGAACAATGTGAAATCAGGGGGAAAAGAAGAAGAAGAAGAAGAAGCTCGAAATCATAGGCAGGATTGAAAGTAGAAGAATATTAATTAGCCGAATTGCACTTTATTTACCATTAAATACTTGGAGATTATACATCAAACACTTATATGCGCATATGATATAAACAAGGACGCCAACATTTTCAGGTATTAACATAAGAAGAGACACAATTCTTGATTGAAAATGGATGCTAACCAAGATAAATAGGCATCACATTCAACCGGAGATTTCAATAGCCTTGGCATCAGGCTTCTTGATTTCCTCCTTAGGCACATTGACAGTAAGAACCCCATTTTCCATAGAAGCCTTGACTTGATCCATCTTGGCAGTCTCAGGCAGCCTAAACCTTCTCAAGAATTTGCCACTGCTACGTTCAACACGATGCCAAGTATCATTCTTGTCTTCCTTCTCCACATTCCTCTCTCCGCTAATCTGAAGCATCCTGCCATCTTCAATCTCGACCTTCACTTCCTCTTTCTTAAGCCCAGGAAGATCGGCCTTGAAGACATGGGCTTCTGGGGTCTCTTTCCAATCAATGCGAGCGTTGGCAAAGGCTGAATTCTCACGAGGGATGAGGGAAGATGGAGGGAAAGGGAAGTCCTTGAATGGATCCCAAGTCTCGAAAGAAGAGAATGGGTCGACGACGCTACCTCGTCGGTTGTTGAAGAAGCTTGGAATCATGGCCATTATCGATATTATCTTCGCTTTGCTTTACCTTACTGTCTAAAGGGTGGATTGCTGAGAATATCGTCACGAGTTGGCGATTGGATAACAAGGGTGGGAATTTATAAGAAGCAGAAAAGGAGGAGTCTGAGTTTCTGGCATGCTCTTGAATAATGGAGGGTGTTCATGGAAGGTTCTGGACATGCTTAGTTTTAAAATGGGAATCCCCTCAATTGGGCTGGATTGGAGCTTTGAAGCCCTAAACGACTTACAAGATAATAAGGCCCGTGAATCCCATACCAACTTGTGGAGTGTTTTGTGCTTGGAAAAAATATATACGTCTCTATGGATATAATTACTTGTCAACCAATTTTTATTTTATTTTTTTTCCACAAAATGTGAACCAAATTAGCAACCGTCTCTCTCTCACCCTCAATTTCTTTTCTACACTGAACATCATGTCTTGCTTATTTAAAGCATATATGTTTCTTTTTCATAATTGATTCCTATATTTGTTAGGGTTTTTTTTTAATATATATATATATAGCTAAAACTTTGTTCTGATGAATGTCCCGCACAAATCAAACTGTTAAAGGAACAAATATGCTAAATCATAAGAAAAACTCCAAGAAGATTGTGACAAATTTGATCGTAATGTAGGAACTAATAATGGATCTCACTAATCTAATGATTCGTGTGTATTTTTAGAATTGTTTTTTATGTTTACTTTTTTTTTAATCTGGAAATAATTCGAATAAAAAGCATTATTGTGAGGAATGAATAAATAAAAAATACAATAAAATGTAAATCTTAAACTGCTGTACGTAGATGAATGGTAGGGGAAAATCAGAGAAAATGCTAATTTCTAGAGAGAGGAAGAAAAAAAAAGTGTTCAGGGTAGCATGCACGAAGAAAGAAGATTTGGCGTTATATATAGATTTAATTTAATTTTTTTCCTTTTTGTCTCTTATAAAGAAAAGGTTTGTACCTAATTTAAAGAGTCGGGTCAATATTGGCTCGTACTTCAAGTATGAGAACGTGTAGGAAGAGCGTCATAAAATCAGTGATGATGGAAGATGGGGAAATTAAGTTTCGTAATATATAGATTATGAGGAAATCTATTCCTGGTTGATTCTTTAGCAATATTAAAGTTCTAAAATTAATTCTTAATTGGTAGTATAAAAGTTAATGTGGCTGATCGAAGAAAAAGATTGGAGCATATATATATATATATATATATATATATATATAAACCATGAGAGACATCAACACACCATCTAATGAATAAGGACTTTCGTATGCGTAGAGTCCCATGCAACTCTCTCCTACAATCACACACCCTAATTTTAAACGTGTGAGAAGACTGAAGATTATAGACTTTACAACTTAGCTCATAGACGTGAACTATTCTTAGCACCCCTTTTCGAAGAAAAAATAAAAACCCTAATTCCGTACTCAGGAACAGACATCGAGTAGTACAACTGATATAGTCTGGTAATAAAGGACCACAATACCTCTGACAAAAAGGATATTATATGATACTCGAGACTCGGACACAAGCAACTGGAGATATAAAACGAGCACAAGTATAAGAAAATAAGAGATAATAATTCTCAAGTAAGAGAGATTGATTTGCCGGTCGGTCGGAAGAGCTAATCGGACACTATCTCGAATGATCTGACCTTACTCTTTTGGTATAGATCCAATCCAAGACACGATGCAATGAACCAGATCCAAGCTCAGCACATTACGATCGAGGTGTAGCAGCAGCTTAAATAATTTTTCATCTCTCAGTGTACGTATCCCAGAAAGGAAAAAATAACTTTTCTACTTGGATGACGTCATGGGTGATTCTACATTTCTACTCGACTAAGATAACGGTCAACGCTCGCTGACGATGGGAACGTAGGATTCTTAGACGCAAACAATCTTCCCCAACGATGATGCCATCACCGTGCTACATCATCACAGTATCAAGTGGAGTTAGTACCCAGGGTCGCATTGCATACATACATTTCTCTTTTCGAAACAATATATTTTGCCTTGTGAGTCACCATTATGGATGTGACAGTCACTGCAAATTAATCTGGTGGATTTTCAAGTGAGCAGAGATTGTTGTAGTGGAGTATACGAGGTCAACTAGGAAGAAGAACTTAACAAGGTTGCTAAACGCTTGGATAATGCACTCACTAATCTCAGCAATAGTGGGCTTTGATGTCTACGGTTAGGGTTTGTCAGATGTGATGGCAATAACGTATTCCTTATGTAAAATGGTGGTGGTGGTGAAGTCAATAACGGCAAGGTAATGTCTAGGGCAAAATGGACCATGAATGGCGGAGTTGGCGCCGACCCATGATAATGGATGGTGGTGAGGAGCTTGATGGTCATTAAAACTTGCCATAACCACGAGATGCCTGGCCCCAACATCCGGTAAGAATTTAACACTTTAATGCCTTTCACAGTGACAATTCCTCAATCATTAAGCAGATTGACGCCACTTGAATGGAGGAGGATTTGTAAAGACAACTTTCTCATTTAGGGATAAACAAAGAACACTTTTCACATTGCCAGCACCAATCTACAGAAGACTTGATTGAAAAGGAAGATGTTAAAAAAATCAAACATTAAGATACAATTGAGAACTATTTGAAAGATGACAGTTTTCTTTTTGACAAACCCTTTCATATATAAATATATATATAAAGATATTGAAAGAATTCTACATTTACAGGGGGGCTATATGTGTATATATATAAATAATATATATTTATAGCAACTGTGAGTTATCCACACTGTAGGATGAATATGAGGCAGCAAGGAGAGCTCCGCCAATGCCTGATCCATCTTCTGTAACCTTAAGAATAACATGTTGGGCCATGTCTTCTCCCAGTATTTCATTCAGGGCTTCATGCAAGTACTCTCTGAATATTGTATACCTAGTATATAAACCCCCCTCAATCGCCACAACTGTTCTTCTCATTTTTACATCACTTTTACTTCTTCCACCAGTGATGCCTCCACTCCCATCCCGTCCAATCTTCTTCAAGATTCCCACAATGCCAGCAGCTGCCAATCGAGCAGCCCTATGGGTCACAACATCACATACTCTTACAACAAGTTTTCGGACCTTCAAAGAGACCTCTGGAATCTGATATTGACAGAAGCCCGGGGGACAAAAAACAATGTAGTCAATCCATAGCAGAATTAAATAAACACAAATAGCAAAAATGTGTGATCCACCTACCTCCAGAGTTTCTCTCAAGATCTTAGCTACTTCTCTCAGTTCAGGAGAGTCGTCCTCGTGCATTGCAGCCACAGAAGGTGTTCTGATTAACAAGTAATTGAGGAAAATGAGTAAGAATTAAAAGCTTCGAAGGACATTCAGCATGGAATATCAAGAGAGATGACACATTTATACAACAATAAAATCATTTTTTCAACTAAAGAAACTCGTAGTCCACACAAGATTTCTGTACACAAGTAACATACTGCAAAATGAAGGGGATTGACAATCTGGAGGAAACAGGTCCAAATATATCCATTTCTTGCGACATTCTGAGAATAACTCTCCGAACAATGTCACCGAGATACATTCCTGATATCATTTTCTCAAAACCCTGCAACAAATTCCAAAAAATAAAAATAAAAATTGAGCAGGTCCTTTATGGTAAATCAATAACAAAAACATAGGCGCCTGCTCCTTACCTGATCATTTGGGTTAGGGCTTTCCAAATCCAAATCAATATCATAAGAAGTTCTTGGCAAATGAGATGACCAGAAATTTCCCCATTCCATGTTAACAACCTAATTAAACAAGAGAACAGCATAAGTGACTGCACGAATATAATAATGGATCGTTTTTCAAGTAAATCACAGTTAAATGCTGAAAATGAGACAAAATAACAGTACCATGCATCCAGAAGTTGTAAGAAGACCTTGACACTTTATGATGGCATCTGCCCGCTCTAAATAACAGGCATTAGTACCCGTTCCAATTATCACAGCAGCAACAGTGTCAGCATCATGATAACGCCCAAGTGCTAAGGTTCCTGCAGTATCATTTACCTGTTGAAAACAAAGTGCACCTCATTTTTCCTTCATTGATAAATTAAAAAATCATAGAGAGAACCACACTTTTGGGGTGGGGGGATGGGGAGTGGTGTTAAAACAGAAAGGCTGTCCAAAGTAACCAGCCTCCATGACAAGAGTTAAAGAAATGAAGACTAAAAAAAGACATCCAGAAAAATAAAAACTATAAAGAAAAGGAAACTCTGAAATCAACTAAAGGATCATCCACAAGCTCAAGCATATTGGTATCTGTGCATTTATACATACATGACTTGGTAATTTTTAAGTTCTAGATCAAGCAATTACAAATGTAAGATGAATTTTATTTTGCATAAGGTAGAATATCAACTACAACCTATTCCTGGTATGAGTAAAACTCCACCAGTTCCTGTAAAGCAGATGTCTTTCTTATGATGAAGTAAAAAGATTTCAATCAAAGAAACTCCATGCAAGTGAATTAAACAGGTAGGGAAATTTCACAGACGATCTGCAATAATGGTACAGATCATTTTTGCTCTGACCATAAATGAAATTATGGTTAACATTGCAATGCTGGTCCAGCCATTCAATTCAGAAAATACACAACCTAAAGAAAAAAATTAACTGACTCCAAATAGTATACATGTTTGACTGCATAACAATTCCTAGACAAAAAACTCAAGCATACTTCTGACTGATAACAATAATGACAATTGAAATACGTCCCAGAAGCATCTGTTTTTTTTTATTTATCCTAATACTTTCAAATAGCAATAATTCCATGATTGAATTCTTACATTAGTTAAGGAAATTAAATAGCAATGTTGCTTCCATGAGACAAGAAATTGCTTACCAATACCACAGCACGCATGTCTAAACCACTTCTGACCAATGCTGCTTCTAAAAGTTCCACCACCTCTTTTCCAACCTGCAATGGTTTGTGCAATTAATCAGTCAGTAAGAAAAAGAAACAGGACTTCACTTTTAACTGTCACTTGAATAAAAAGCATAAAAACTTCCACAGTGGCTAATAGAGGCATTTTCACTTATATTTTAACATATTTATGGTAAGTGATTTCATTATTTATATTTTAGAATTTTCCTCATCCTAAAATTATATGCAACGAAAAAACACAGCTAGGATTTTAATATTCTTAGCTTGCTGCTCCTTAAGAACAACACAAAACATGTATAGACATATTGAGAAAAACGGAGATATATTTGCCTCCCGGCAGGAGGAAATGCAACAAGCAATTATGCAGTCAACATTTACAAAGTTGCCTTCGTAGACATCATCTAGCTTACCATGTCTTCAATGGCAAATCCTTTTGTCCATTTGATAAGGATCCCTGAACGAATAGATAATTGTTTCACTGGAAAAGAAAATGTAAACCCAAGCTCCCTTGTTCTAACTGGAGAAGGCTCAGACCCACTTTCTTCTTTTTCGACAAATTGCTTTAAGGTTGAAGCAATAAAATCAAAGAGATCCTGTAGCCAAAAAAAATGCAGATTAATTGCCATAATTCCCAGTAGATGATCTCTTTTTTTTTCTTCTTTTTTTTTTTTTAACAAAAGCATGCCCTAAGATAGTAAAATATTTGCATTTCAAACTCAGTCACCTCACTTGTGCTTGTCATCAAGTGCTGGGGAATGGGTTGTCGCTCCACATCTTGAGACAAGATTGAAGATCTTTTACCTCCTAGCTGAACTCGCAAGACCCTAAAATTAGTACCCCCAAGATCTAGAGCATAATAAGTTCCTATCTCACTCCTGACAACAACATCAAAAATCAATTTACCAATGCAACCTAAGCAAACGTTACAAATATAGACCGCATAATTGAAAATAGATACAATTCCAATAATTGATCATAATAAATAATAATAATATAGAAAAATAAAAATAAAAAAAGCAATTTAAAAACAGAAACACAGAGTCGCTGCTTATTGGTGTAATTTCCCCAAGCAAGGCATTAATTATACCTTTATGTTACGAATAAAATACATCCCAATGTGAAATTAATTGGATATCCATATCTACCTCATTCATCAACAAGGTTATCACAACTGGGCGAAAACTTTCTTTTTTCTTCTTCACTTCAGAAACTTAAAATTGATTTACATGGTATGCATTGGCACAGAATCAAAACCAACTGGAGCATAAAGAATGAGTCTCGAATGAATTATACAGGATAACAGTACTAGCAATGCTTACATCTGGTGTAACTTGATCCTAACTCTTCCAGCTACTATAAGATTCAAAGACCAGAACCGGAAACAGGCTAAACACTATTAACAACTGTAAACACACCCTATGCATTCCAATATCTAATTTCTGCCATTGCAAGTTTCAACAGTCAGAACTCAAAAAGAAAAATGGGGTACAACTGACACTATGAACTCCTCATGAAAGGCATGAAATATGTAACTACTATGTTTCTAAATAAATCCGCACTTCAACAGAAAAACTACAGTTATGTATTTGCTTCAAAGAACTATTAAAACCATTGTTAAAGCAAGTTAGATATGAAAATTATGTTCATTAAATCAATGCAGATTCTGTCATTGATTCTTTGAGCAACCAACCCCATCCACTTGGTAAACAAGACAAAATTAGAACCAACAAATTAAAATTTAGGAACCTAAACACATAGTATTTATCCAACAGTTATCTAACATTTTAAATCAGAATAGAAGGGAATAGAAAGAGAACATTTAGATTCTATAAACTTATGTGTAAAGTTTTGTTTGAGAAAAAAACAATATTCCCAAATCAAGTAGTGAAAAGATCGATCCATTACAATAAAGATATGTCAAAACAACAGATAGCAGAACATGAATATATAATTCAAAAGTGCACAAGTTTACAAATAAACCCAATTCCAAAACTACTGTACCAGAATCATCTAACCAAGTGAACCCACCAAACACTTAAAAAACAAACTTATACAACACAAAGGAGAAAACAGCAAATAAACCAAACGTCACATCAAAACAAAAAATAAAACTGGAATAACAAAACACTTTAACAGTGACGAATTTGGCAGAAAGCGTGAAGAAACAAGAAACAGAAACAACACAAGGAAAGAGTGTCCAAGTTGCAAGAAAACAAGGGGAGAAAAAAGTTCAAAAAGCGCTCCAAAATAGCAATGGGAAACAAATGGCCAAACTGTATCAAATTTCAATTAATAATAAAAACAGCTAAGAGTACAAACAACAAGAACACCTCAGAAAAGGATCACGAGATCGTAACAAAAAATACCAAAATACCAAACATGCAAAAATGAGATCAAAAACCAATCACAAACTATCAAATTCAAGATTACAGGAATACAAATATCTCCAAAAGACACTAAAGAGACAAGTACCATTCAATCAATCATCCACCCTTTATTCCTAAACCGACCAGCAATCAACCAATCAATCAAGGATCAAGCAAAACACACAAACACGAGCAGACACACTAAAAGTGGAACCACAGAGTATCTCTCACAAGTCAATCCAGTAACAAAAACAACAAGTGAGAGATGGATTAGATTATGGATTATTACCCAGTAGGCAAATGGTCAACAAAGGTGAGTAACATTTTAAGCTTAGAGCCACCTTCGGAAGCCAAACCAGCATGCATCTCCACAGCCATAGCATCCACTACTTGCCTTAACCTCCCAACTGGCGTCTCACATGCTTCTTCTAACTCTTTCAACACTCCTACCACTCTCGTCCACTTCCTCCTACTCCGTACCCTCCTCCCCACCACCACTCCTGCCACCGCACACGCTACCACCGCCACCCCAACCGCCACTCCTACCGCCAGCTTCCCCATCACCCACCTTTTCTCCAACTATACCACTTACCTACTTATCACTATACGCTCACCAATCCAAGAAAGCAGTAAGCCGACGCCGTTTCATTCTGAAATATTGTAACTTTGCTATGCAAATGACTATCTGAATAAAACCCAGATAGGAAAAGTTAAATACTTGATGAGGATTCAGCGGCGGGAAACAATCGCCGGCGGAAGTGGCTGTCTGTGGATGAACTGTTCGAGGAAAGGCTTAAAAGACTCTTTGTTTTTAATTAAATTTTACAGGAAGTGTTGAGAGGAGTTTTTTTTTTTATAGAGAGAGGAGAAAGAGAGAAGATGAATGGTGTGCGTGTGTGTGTGTGTGTTTTATTTTTATTTTTTTCACTAAAGAAGCGTTGCAAAGCGAACTGAACGGTGCTTATATATGTAATTAAATGACAGATTTGCCCTTGTTAATGTTCAAAATTGACAGATTTATGTAGGGGATCTTTTTGTTGATTTTATTACCGTTTATGAAAAGATTTTTAGGTTAATGAGAATTTTGACTTGGGCCTTTTGCTGCTTTTTCCTGTAGGGTAGGTGTACATAATTGCCCTTGGAGTTGAAAGGTATTACAACTGTTTTGTAGTCTGTATTAAGAAAGAAAAGGCAAAGGGAGACCATTTCATGAGAAAGATGGTCGGTGTTGATTATGTTTGACTCGTTGATTAAGACCTTTTCCAATTTGGTGATATGCAGATAAGACTCTGGGTGGCTGCCGGTCAGATATATATATATATAGATAGCTAGAAAATGCTTGTGTTCTTTTAATTGCAATTGCTTGTGTGAACTAAGTTCGTGTTGGTTTTACGCTATGATTGTGACTTGTAATCTAAAATAACTAAGTTCTCTGTTCGCATCACTAGTGGATAGGGCATGCTGATCTTGTGTTCATCCACAATATAATTAACAATTTGAAACTAGTCGTGGTAGCGATGACAAATGGGGCTATGCCAAATGGCTGTTACAGCTTATTTATATTTTATAGTATGTTATTTATTTTAGGAAGATTTAATTCATTTTTTCTTTTGTTTTTGTTTTTTTTGGCCATGCCATTCAAGAGAGTTAATGATTTAACTGACTACTACTGTCAGAATTCAGCAAATCAAATGTTTTAATTAGAAATAATTTCATTGTCATTTGCCAATGGAATTCGCTATTCGCATATAATTTTGGGAAGAAGAGAGATCGACTGGAACTACAACCTCCTCCTCGATTCGGATGAGGGTAATAGATTAATTAATTAATTAATTGACTCCGTTGTTTGTCTTTAGTTGTAAGAAATGAAAATGAAGTAGGAGGGGGAGTGTGTCAGTATTTTTGGCCTTGGATTACAACGAATACCAAAATTTGTACCTCCTTAGCTCAAATCGCCATCCTGCACTTGCGTCCTAGTTGGGACTGATCCTGGCATTCAATGAACCAAACCAAATAATTAATTATCGCATAACAGGACAACATTCGAGGCATATAACAACAAAATGTTACTACGACGTTTTATTTTATTTTACTTAGTATCTTTGAATTTTAATATTGATTATCATTAGTTTTTGAATTTTAAGAAGCCAGAACAAAAGAATTGGCAATGGCATCAGTGCTAATTAGTAGTCGGTGGTTACCATATTAACTCATACTATCCTATATATATATGTACAGAACGTGTGTGCAGTCCAGGTTGGTACTCAGGTTTGTATTATTTGTCACACCTAATTCCTTCCTTTTCTTTACACGTACTGACATGCATGTGGAAAAAAAGACAGCATCTAGCTACCACATTTTGACCCTCTTCGCTCTTGAAAGCTTAAAGCTTAATTACTTATTTATTACCTTTTGCAAATCTCACTCAACATCCTTGCAAGTTACAGTAATAGGTATTTGCATGCATGATCTGTTCAAGCTGGAAATCACATATTCTTGACAGTAAACATTTTACTCCTCTTCTTTTTCTTTCGGCACCTATATCTCAAAATACATGGCTATTAATTACTCGAATGTTATATATATAGCCTCATTTGATTTTTTACGTATATTAAAAGAGTATAGTAAGTTATATGTTATGTCATATGGTTTGAATTTACCTTTCAATGTTATTTTTATTTTGTTTTAAAATGAATTTTTTATCAAATTGATAGAATTAGCCCAAGATGAAAGGTTTATTTACTAGTAACAAATTGATATAGATTCTAATTTTAATGTATGTATCATTTTTTATTATTATTGTTATCTTTACACACTCAAACTAGTAAGTTTACACTTTGTCTTTTTTTGTTTAAACAAAAAAAAAAAAAACAAATTCTAATGTAATGTTCTTTAATTTTTGAGATTAAAATTTTTGTTTTTCCTAACTAAATTAACAATGATAAAAATGCAATGATTGACTTAGAATTGCTTGCAGTGGAATAGTATTTAACATGACTTATACCAAAAAAAAAAAAAAATGACAACTTTGATGTAAATAAGGTAATTTATTTTTTCTTATTCATTAAAAATAAAATCCAAAAAAAATTAAAAAGAGTGGTAATCAAGAATATAACGAGAAAAAAACAATAAATTAATTGAAACATATAAAAAAGAAAAGACGGACACTATCTTTTAGTACACTAAACATACATTTTATTGTACAACGTTAACTCGTATCTCCATTTAACACATAAGAATTCTAAATTTACTTTTTTGTATAAAATTGATATAAAATCTCAATCTGAAAATCTAGGTTTAATATATAGTTAGTGAATTCTGCTTTACATTAAAAAAGAGAAAACTAGTTTATCACCCATAAGTTTTTGGTGACAGTTATTGAGTCGAGGGGCATTTTAGTAATCTTAAAGACAAATCCAATGGCATGTTCTTAGTCACCAGACCGACTTGCTTCATCTCGGTGAAGGAACCTCCAAAATCAAACAGAAAGGACTCCTTTGCCATAAATGAAGAGAGAAGGGCACAATGGGAAACAAAAGGAGAGAAAGAGAGGATTTTGCCCTTGTTTTTTATTCTGTTGCCTATAAATATATAGTAAGTGGTGCTGGGATCGCCATATTTTAGACACGGGGATTCTTAAAGCGAAGAAAATTTGAAAAGAGATCAAACGGCGACGGTAGCTGCGTATCCTTCGTACTTGCCAGCTGTGTCCCGCTAACTCCAGCTGTGCTCACAACACATATAAAGCCACCATCCTCTGTGTGCGTGTGGCCTCACAGATTTTATTTCAATGATAATAAATTAATTTTAGAAAACTTTTTCATTGTCTTGGTCGCAGGAGCCTGTGTTATAAATTATTATTTACAGTACAGTTAAAAAAACCCAAAACAGAACCTCAGCACTCTTATTCACGGAAGAAAGCAACCAACTCATGTTTCAAGTTGCAAGTTGAACGATCAACTTGTCTTGTTTTGCTCAAAATTTATGCTTAAATTATAAAAGCACATTATTTACATTGATTGCATTGCCTTTTCTTTTTTCCCTTTACTTTATATTTAAAGCTTCCAAGAGGAGGGATTTGAACAGAACAATATTGTAATAGTATGATGTTGGGAAGAAGGTTAATTAAGATTAAATACTTAACCGTAGCACTTCGATTCACGTGTTTCTTGAATTTGAATTCTTGAACAGAATATGAGATGCAAACCTGTCTATCATTACTGAAATTATTTAAAGATTGCTAATTTTTTGGAATTTAATAAATGAATTCTAAAAAGGATAGTACAAATTTGATTTTTTTATGAATGCAACAATTCAAAGAAATTGCTTCTCTTTTTTATTTATATTTGTCTTAAAATATTTGTTTGGTCAAAAATTTAAATAATGTATTTTTTAAAAAATAATTTTAATTGATAAAAAATAATTATTTCTTTTTCTATTTGTCACTAATAAAAAAATCAATATTTTTTATATTTTTTATTATGTATACAAATATTTTTAACATAAAAATTTTAAATAAATTTTTTTGTTAAATGAAAATAAAGGGAAATGCAAGTACACAAATTTCTTTTTCTTCTTTTAAATCCAAAGACAGGAACGATTAATTTGTTCATCGTTCTCAATTAGATCATGATATTAGCGTTGGATCCATTAATACGTTGTACTAATCCAATATCTTCTAGTTATTTCTTGTGAAATTGTACAACGCTTAGTACACTTATAATTTATAAATGATTGCTTAAATAACTTTTGCAATGGTATATTGAATGCTGAGGTTTTTTTTTTTTTTTTTTTTAACAATGCCTTGAGCTACAATGATTAGCCATTAAAAAAATAAAATTGTTACGATGGTGTAAAAGTTCTATGTACTAAGTTAGGGAGTGCATATTGGACAGAACAGTACAAGAAAATATTACATGTGTTTTGTTAATTTATGACACATGTAACAATAATCTATAGTCTCTGTTCAGATTTTTATTCCACTTCTTAACATTGAATATTTTCTTCTTACAACTTTACAAAAACTTTATTTAACAGTTAAGCGATTGTCGTTTCTTCCAGAAAGAAACTACAGAAAATTCCAATCCGAAAAAATCATAGCGTAGCGTGATGAAAATCGTTTACAAAATTTCATGAAAAATTCCATTCTTGAAAAGAATACGAAAATTTCCGTAAAAGCCATGGCCTTATCAAGGGGTTGTTGTTTTGTGGAAACTAGAAAGGCTCTCTGCGAATGATGAAGCCTGTAGGTCTCCTGGCTAGCTGAAACGCAGCCGTTAGCCGCGAGGGCTAAAATAGAATTTCTCGTGACTCGTGAGATTTTAGAAGTAAAAGAAAAGAAAATCTTTTTTTTTCGCAGAGAGATGCGTGAAGACTGTCGTCAGCGCTCTTTTGACCGTACATCTTAAAAGTCAGTCCAATGAATGATCCTGACCGTATAATTACCATGAAGAAGTTGACTTGGCAAATAGCTGGCATTTCCATTTGATTTTGAGCACGTGAGATACGAAACTGTAACAAATGTCAGCTCTGCGAAGTGCATGGGGCCCACAATCAACCTT